CAGAAACAATGTACAACAACAAGAGGAAGAAGAGCAAAAACAACAACGAAAAACACACACAATCTCCGAGTTGAACACTCGGCGAATGCATTACACCATCGAACAAACAGTTTGCTTCACATTTTATCTTCTGGGATCGCGCGCATTCATTTCAATATTTCTCTTGAAATTGTAAACACCCAATTGAAATGTAAACAAATCGTAAAAACAAACCCATTTCAGCATTGTCTTTATTTCGGTTTGTTCAATTGGATCTAATTTATTTTTATTAGATCGTCACGTTTTCGTTCGCAATCCGCCGCCACTGTTTCCCATCACTTGATTTGATTCCGATTTATTGGCATTCTTATCGATTCAATCAATTTTAAATGCCTTTTTTATTATGACGGCAGCAGCAACGGCACCGGTACTTGCAAAGAAAGCTCTGATTTGTCAAACAATGTAAGCGTAAATGAGCCACTGTACCATTTCTTTTTTCAATCGCAATTTTCATTTCTATGGCCATAAATTTCAAAGTGCAATTGTTAGTATGTAGAATATAATAGTTATCCTATTTGTATAGGATATCCAATGCTATTGCCACCATACGCAAGCGCATTCTTTAATGATGTATTGTTTTTATTCATGGAACATGCACCAAATCAATTGAACATCTCTCTCTCTCTCTCTCTCTCTCTCTTTTTTTTTCTATTTCCCTCTTTGTTCCCTTTTTCATTGCACGCAATGACATAACACATGTTCTGAAAGTTTTGCTCGGAAAATGAAATTCAACGAATTTGGAGATCATTTCGAGAATCAATGGATTCTAGTGAAATGGAAATGATTGATTTGAATTTCGGCGTAAATGCATCGACTTGACGTCGCAACAATTTCATTGCCCATCTAACAAGAATTACAATAATAACATTTATTTTCCTTCCACCAAATAGAATGCTCGACGAGCCCTACTTTAATACCGTTTAGTATTTATCATAACGGAAGCTATTCACTCGAATAGGCAACGACGATATTAACGACGTTGCAACATGGTTTTTGTTACTTTCTAGCATAATTTTCAAGGAACGCACATTTTTTGAAGCGTAATTTTTTAATGTTGGTGTTGTTTTCGCTCTCCTCTCAGACGAACTGTTTTTTTTTCTCATTCGATTCAACTTTTTAGTTTGAGTTAATGTTTATGTGTAAAAACAGAGTTATTAGAGAGATATAAAGACCTATCGCCAGTTTTTCGCGCCATTAAACCCATTTCTGTGAACACCACACGCCGTATTCCGTATGAGCATCACAGAGCGATTGTGCATGATCTAGATTTTTATGGCAAAAAACAGTGAAGCAATTTGAAAATTTGCTAATTAACCAAATGCGAATATGTGTGTATAATTGGAATTAACATCACCGTAATAATATATATTTTTATCGCTTTTTCTCTCTCTCTCTCACTCACTCCCTATATCTTAATTTTTTTGGGGCGAGTATTATGACAAACAGAAAAGACAAAAAATAAAACATTACAAAACAGATTTATTGTTCCGACCGCATGATCAAAATGGAATGTCCAAAACGTTTAACGTCTTTTTATTTTCATCTCATTTTCGATCGTTGTTTTATAATTAGTGCAGTGGAATATAGACGCGATTTAATCCGCCAACCGATCACGATCTCTGTGTTGTGTTTTTTACGCGCGATAATCGGCGAGAGTCACTGTCGTGTTGATGATGATTTTATTCCCCACGCTCCGCGCTCGCGATCGCATTGTGCTGTTGATAATTAAATTTTGCGGTAATTGATGAACGAATCGTGGTGTGACGGGATTGTAATGGGATTTTATGTGTAATGAATTATTTCCAACTGCGCGGCCCATTGACACCACAAAGTATTTGTGGTGAATCATTGGAAATGTGTTCATTAGTTTCTAATTCTGATTTCCGTCGTTCGTTCAATTTTCCGATTTATTGTAGGGTTTATTTTTTCTCATTCTTCTTCTTCTTCTTCTTCTGTATGCTCGCCGATGTATGCGATCACTGAGCTTCCTGAACATGTTAAATGGAACGGAATAATGTGCAAATGTTAATAACACTTGAATCACACTCATTTCGTGTGTTTCTTTTGATGGTGGCATTTGTTGGTGTTCAAGGTGATGACCATCGGATGCTCTCTCAGGTGCCACCTTGTAAACACATTGATGTACGGTGGCACTTTTCGATGATTTTATTCGTTCAATTATTAACAATCGCCTAATGACATTACATGGATATGGTAAAAATGGTAGCATTCTTCCGTCTCATTCAGATCGTATCAAGAAAATAAAACCAACCATCATTTGTACAATGCGTCGATTTGATTCAGGACTGGAATTCAGTGCAATTTGAATATATACGAGTGCATAATAGATGGATGTTCTGAAGACAAACACAATTCGATGGTTTTACCTTCCAATTTATGTTTTCCATGTCAAATATCGAATCAATTGGCGTGCGGACAAAAGCGAACAAAATAAACCATCAATCTAATAATTTGAATCGACAATACCAAAAGATAGTTCAACAACACTCATTCAATGGAATATGCAGCTATTCACAACGATCGTTTCAAGCAAATTGATTTCATTTGTATAAATTCCATATCAGACGTAGATGATGAGCGTAGATTAAAACCACATTCTATTTATGCTTCACTACTTAATAAATTTATCAATTGCGCCCGCAAAGGTACGAAGAACTATCGTCGAATAGTATAAACAACTTCGATTTTTTTTAGTCCTTCACAACCACCAGCAGCAGCAGCAGCAGAAAAAAATACATGAAATGATATATGACATTGGAATTTGCTGTCATTGAAAATTTATTTTGCGTTTACGCATTGCGTTTATGCTTCAATTCAAATCGCCAATGTCAAAGAGAGGAAATTAATCGTACAATGACATTCTTGAGTTTCGACCAGTCAATTTCTCTCTCTCTCTCTCTCTCTCTCTCTCTCTCTCTTCTGCTTGTAAATTGAGTTGCCGTAACATTGATTGGTAACAATGACACCTGTCACAATGGAGCATAGCATAACAGAAGGGATTTGTAGTCATCTAATTTACATGAGGCAGAAAAATTAACGATTACATCATCGCCACAATGCATTCAGGAACAATATTCATTGAATAACGCATCCAATCATTGTGCACTTTGTGGACTACGTGCCAAGTAATATCGAGGCGTTTGTAATGCGATTAGCAGGTGATATAGAATGAAATAGAACCATCGGATGGTATAAATTATACCATACCACAGACACAGACATGTAACGCATAAAAATGATTTGAATTGCTATTTACCTGGAATGTTGAATGCACGAGAATGATTTCTGATTGCAAATGATGTGTTGTTGGTGCGTTGTTGATAACGTTGGCTATTTCCACCGCCATCGCCACCAATTGACTGTTCCTCTGCATTATAATCGTCTTCGTCGTCGAAATGCATTTGCTGCATGTGCAGATCACGTATGCCAATGCAATCGATATCGTCTTCGTCCATTGTTAGTAGATTATCCAGCACGTACGCACTTTTCTCCAGTGGTTCGTTGATTTTTTGCGCCAATTCCGAGCACCTATGTGCCAAATGCCAAATGTCCGACTGTGAAACAGCCCAATGCAACAATTGCAATCCTAAGCTGTTCTTCAATGCGGACGCAAGCAGATCACTCATTGCTTAGCTATTTCGAGCGACGTTTGTAGTTTTATTTTGGCACTTAAACTCTACGAACAACAAAAATCCTTTGCAGATCGCCGTTATTCGATCACAAAACAACCAAATATCGTGTTTCAATGCACTTTTTGTCCGTTACGTTGCAATCCATTCACTAAATCTCCATTCAGAGCACCAGATGAATTTCACTCACTTATGCAGGTTTTTTTTTATCGTCAATTTTTGATTGTGCTTCACTTTTTTTCCGTTTATTTTCGTTTCGATCGTTACGGCACACTTTCACTTCGTTTTAATTAATAAACCATGCGAATCCATTTATTGTCATCGGTGCCTTAAAAAGTTTTCGCCGAGATCCAGTCAAATCGGTAGTGATGCTGCGTCGTTCGTTGTCATTTAGACACACTGGGTTCCGAATTCGAAAGGCATTCACATCGAACATGTGCGACACCATCAGCGATCAGTTTAGGTTTTTTTTTGTCATCATCGTCGTGTCGTGGTTTCGTTGTGTCGACCGATTATTGTTTACCCAAAACAAAAGTTATGGAAGAAATAGGAAAGAAGAAATGATATTAGCATCGATCATAAAGCAAATTTAAAAAAAAACACCAAGCAAAAAAAAAACAAAACTGCGCTAAAAACAATTATTACATAAAAGTTGTACACTCGATTACGAAAGAAACCTGTGATTTGGCTACGTTTTTATTTCTATCTTTGTTCAGTAATTATTTAAATTTTAAGACTTTGTCGCCTTTTTTTCTCAACCAGCCAATCTCGTGTTGAACATAATCGAATCGAGGGCGCGATTTACTCTCTCGTATAACATGCGATGACACATTAGCGATGAAATCGGAATTGTCAACGCCGTTGAGTGGGACAGTGGCCGAAATGACAGTGAATTCGTGACCACAAATCGAAATGGATTGGGGCATTTTCAACCAAACTTTCTGTCCAATTAAGAGTTTTGTTTTTGCTGTTTCAATTGAAACTGCAAATTAGTAGAAATCATCGACGATGTATAATTGCAAATTTCTCCGAATCATTTATATAACATAAATATTTAAAATAGATTTTTTCCCTTCTGTTTTCAATTGATGATGATGAATGACAAAATGGGAAAACAACGAATCGCGTGCACACACACACACACACACACACCAAATAAATATCACGTCACTTTGCACAGTTCTAATTGCACGAGTCGCGCCAATCGCGAACAATTGGAATGAGAGACAATTTTTGGTTTTCAACCGCAAAAAATATTCCAGACCGAAAATTGCATTTTAATCATTAAATGCAAACAAAAGTTTAATTTAAACATGAATTATTTGGTTCGCGGTAAGCAAAACTCCATATGCGGGAAAAAAAGTGCTTACGAAATGATTGCTGTCGTCGTGTCTGCGTTCGAAAATCGACTGAAGCAAGCACTTAAAAAAGGTCTAATCATCGTCGATGCCTAATGGAATGACCAAAAATTCGATTTTCAAATCAGACAAAAAAAACTGCAAACTCATCATGTTAACGCATATATGAAATCACACACGCCATTCAATCATAGTCACCGCTGTCGTTGCCGCCGTTGTCTTCGCACAAAAGTAACCCGATATTGTCGACAACAATCGACATGTATTGAAAATTTTCGGCGCATTGTTTGCTATGCGTATTTTCACCGTCCAAAAGCCCGTATAGATCGTACATGAACTGCCCGATTAAAAATAACCGGAAAACATACGGCTTGCCACCTTATGCATGCAAAATTAATGAATCTGCATGAGATCTTTGCCGCCGGTCATATCGAAACAATGCGTTTTACAACGTAAATTTTTCGTTCACAATTGACACCAAGCAAAACGAATAAACGAATGGAAAACAAAAAGCCGCGCGCGCACCATGTCTCGTACGTACACCACAGGCCATAAGTTTGGATACCCCTATGAATGAATTTGGCCCAAAATTTTTAAATTTCAAACCGCTTGTCCAATTTCAACATGCTATGCGTCGTTGGAAAGGTCTCGGAGAGTACGTGTCATTTTTGGTATTAAACATCTTAATTTCAAGACCTTTCCAATGGCGTACATAACTTTTTAATCCGATGGCCCGTTTAAGACTTCGATTTTGACTCCCACAGCTCAAAGGCCAAAAGACGGCCATTAGGCCGGCCAAATGTTATCTTCCAAATCATCCATTCGGTCAGAATTTCGATATATTTTCATATCCAATACTAAATTTCAAGTGAAAATGTTCAAAAAACGTAGAAACAAACGTTTCATAGGGGTATCCAAACTTATGGCCTGTGGTGTATATTTGGCGAATTTCAAGTGAAAGTCCAAAAGTAAATGGTATTTTTGAAATTGAAGCTCATTTTTCATTTGTGCTGATTTGTTTTCTTCTCTTCTCCCTTTTTTCTGTCGTCAACTCTCTTTTCGTTTATTCTCTCTCTCTCTCTCT